AGGCTTGCAACCCTGGAACAACAGAGGAGAGGTCCGCATGACCTGTTGCACGATGGATGGCCGAAGCAACTTCCTGCAGCATTTGCCAATAGGCTCGAAGAGGTAGATGCTTCTTTGATTGGCAAGCTTGGCGGGAGGTCCACGCCCTTTGTACAAGCAACACAGAAGACTTGTGGCAAAACGGATGGGCTCACACAACCGAACGTGGCACTTCAGTAGTACCGGGTACCACTTTCGTGCTGCCAGCGGCACATCAGCGAGCCAGTGTTCGCCCACGACTTTGGACGGTCCCCCTGCTTTGTTGCGCGGCAATCGTAGGATGGTTTGCTCCAACTCATGCAAAGTAGGCAAATCATGCAACTCAAACCGAGCATTCTTATCAACACCGCTTGACCTGTGAATCTTGGCACACTCAAAAGCATCCAGCGGCACAGCAGCTTCCATACTGCCAAAGTGTTCAGCTTTCAGCTGCTGCTGTTCCTCAAAAGAGTCCGCACATGAGCCGTCAGGCCTTTCGACTACTGGCAGCATCCTGGAAAAATTCCGTTTCGGCCTGAAAAAACGCAAGGCATGCCACAGTCTACGAGCATCTTTCTCACAAGCAGCTGTCTTGGCCTGCTCTGCAATCCGCTTGACATAATCCTTTTTGTCGAGCTTTATGTTGCTCGCAATGACTTTGGAAAGCCGATACAGCATGACCGAGCTCTTGATCAACTTGACCTTCCAACTTAGAGGCGACCTTGCACCGTTGTAGCGCCCCGCCCAAGTCCGCATACATGCGAGGAGCTCAGAACGCTTCAAGGCCGCAACTTCACACTGACGCTGTTTGCAACATGCTTTCTTGGTAAGGATGAGATCCCATGTTCTTTCCGACACAAAAGGCTTGGAAGGTTTGAGCCCACCTACAACGGTTTGGAGCCTCTTCGCTGCAGTGAGTAGGTTCTCGGCGTGCGTGTGTACATCGCACCTCCAGCTAACGTCACCAACGCGCCCACGCCTGACTCTAGAGGTGCGGGAGTGAGCGGTGACCTTAAGCGGGAGTCTGACAGGACTGTGACCTGACGCGATTCCAGCCCCACCAGTCTTGATGGGGACACAAAGGCCGACGCAAAGAGCTTGATGGTCGTCGTGGACATTCCCTAGGTCTATCTCAACATCAAGAACAGATGACCCGTTGAGCCACTCTCCGGAGCATGCCACATAATCCAAGCATTTGTGCCTCCACGTGGCCTTCATTTTTTCAGGAAACGCCTGGCTTGGAAAAGTGTTCACAAGGGCAAGCCCGCGTTCCAAACAAACATCTGTCAGAAGATCTCCCGCAAGATCAGACACTTCATCAGCCAGGGGTCCAGTTGCAGGCTCACTGTGCCTTGAGACCTTCGCATTCGCATCGCCAAGGAGCACGACAGGCGCCGAACGACTCAACACTGTTATGTCAATCTCGGCACGTTTCCACCAAGTCCGAATGCAGGCTTCGGGAAGCTTGGAGTGCGGGGCATGAAACGTGAGTAAGACGAGGTCCAAGCTAGCCTGTTTCACACGCACTGCCAACCAATCAGGCCTGGCTTGCAGCACCGCAACAGCCTCTCGACCGAACGCTTTGACTCCTAGCATCTCTGCCATGCCTGCGCAGTTGAACCAGAAAGCACAGCCGTCATGCCCACGCGTAGCAGATGAATGCAAGCACAACCAGCCTTCGGCGATAAACGCAGCCTCCGAGGCCAACCGCGTCTCTTGAAGGGCGCATATGAGCAATCCTTGCGCGGCAAACTGCTTGCGAAGCATCGGACATTTGTTTTTCAGAGTACACGCGTTGGCGGTGCATACACGCAGCATGACGCGACATTTGCGAGGCACGCTGCACGCACCTGGAGGTTGCACGTCCTTGATCACAGCTTCAACACAGGAAACAGGAACGGCATCCTGAGCTTCGTAGCAACCCCGGTGAAGCTCCAGAGGAGGTGGAAAATCAGTCACGCATCCCTCAGCCGCCCATGCCCACGCCACGAGAGGGTGACCCCATACCTTTCTGACAGCCTGCGGGATGGGTGAAGGTTTGCTGTTACCTCGTGCAAAGTAGCCCGCAACACGATCCGCAAACTCATTCCCAAAAGTACCGACATGTCCCTTGGTCCAACGCAGATATGTGTGTCGTTGCCATCTCTCATGCCACAGCATGATATGCCTCAGTAGTCTGGCCGGAGCATGAGGTGGGAGCTGTTCGTCAACACAAAAATGGCCCAAAGCACAGCCCATCGCAAAGGACGAATCAACTACAATCTCAACTTGAATGCTGTGCGGCACGCTCATGGCCCATGTGATTGCAGCAAGCAAACCGAAACATTCCGCAGTGTTGTTAGTCCCGCGTATGTTGTCAGGCACACGACCACCGGCCCAGCCGATGAATGCCCACTCGCACCCACTCCAAGCAAACAGAACTAAGCCCCATCCATTGCCTCCCTTTTCAGCCGAACCGTCCACGTAGACGCGGAGCGCTAACGGGTTGGGAAAAGGCAAAGGAATAGGGCAGCACTGAATACACGCAAGAAGCTTGTTAGGCAACGCCAATTCGCAGACCTCATGTCGCCAGAAATCAAACCATGGACAACACGCAAGCTGCAAAATCACCTGCAAGTCTTCAACGCTCCCATCGGCATGAGCCGGAAGAGCATCGTTCAAGGAGAGGGCGGGCCCTCCAGCGTTGATAACATGTTGTTGCTTCCGAGTTTCTACTCGAACAAGTTGCTTCTGCTGCTGCGCGCTCAACTTTGCAGGTTCATGAGCATGGTTCCGCGGGCGCAAACAGCGGCTAGGCGTTTGGGAATCAGCGAGCTCACTACAGTGACCGAATCCCACATCTTGGCCAAAAGATACGCTCTTGCAACAGTTGCCTGAACAAATGCTGCGCTGGGAGTCTGTACATGGGCCTTTCAAAATAGACTTCAACTCAGTCGACTCCTGTCTTGAATGCTCGCCCGAAAAACTGGCACACACATGCGCTGGTTCGAAGGAGCGTTGGCTGTCCATGCACGTTCCTGCACGCAGCGATGTGCGTGCCAGCTTCTGGTCACAATCAAAACATGAGTCGACTGCGTAGGCAGCTGTCCAACAGAGCTCACTGCTAACAACTCTACCTCCAGTTTGAAACTCATCCGCCCAACTAGCTGAGCTGGCAGTGCGAGGTTCAAAAGCTTCATCCTGCGACAGTTCTGTGAGCCACTTATTGCGGAAGATATGATCACCCATGATTTTTGCCTTGGCGTCCGCAACGCTTTCACTGTCCCACATGATGTCACAGCATAGGTGCCACAGTGCACCAATAAATTGTGCATTCCATGGACTGCTGTAGTCATGCTCCTCCATAACGGAGTGGAGCAAGGTGTGTCCCAACGGCCACTCGCTCTCGTCCTGGACGGCCATCACAGAGCTGCAGCCTCGGCAGGGACTTTCGTTGCATCCGGGTCGGTCCTCTCCACACCTCTTCTGCGAGGCGATGCTGCCCCCGACTTTGGGAATGTGAAGACTGCATCCATGGCAGTCTTGAGTTTCTTCTCCGCCTGCACGACTGCGTCTTCGGTTTCGTCCTCTCGTGCCGAAACCTCCATGCACTCTGGTTCCGAATCGTCGATTTCTTCGACTTTGCCATCCTCCACATCCTTGGTCAATGCACGGATGCCCTTTCGGGCGCTGCTGAGCTTCTGCATCAACTCTTCCTCTTTGATAGCAAAGTCCGCAAGGCGCCGCTGATGATCTGCCGCACCTTTCTCTATGGCATCCGCGGTCTTTTGCATGAACTCCACCCATGCATCTTCTTGCTTGCGCCTGGCAGTCTTCAAAGCTTGCACTTGCTTTTTTGCAGCCCCGAGCTGGGCCGTCAAAGCATGCAAATCTTTCGTAGTGTGCTTCGCCGACGATTGTTCCACTTTGGAAATAGCCTCCGCCAGAGCTGAGGGCATTGACGCTGTCGGGATAGCAGCTTTCAAAGCTCCCAACAACTCTTGGACTTGCGCGTTGTCCGCTGGATTCTGTCCACTGCTTGCGGCAAGATGGCGAGTCTCGGAAACAGTGGTTGACCACGGTGGTGCAGGACTCGTCCAAGCAGGCGCAGTATAGGATGGAGAAGGCCACCCTTTGCCAGAAGCTTTTGCTTGTCCTGGCCAGTCCCATGTTTGATTTCTTCGCCGCGGCGACGGTCTCTGTCTGGGGGAAGGGGATCTCCATTGACCCTTCGTCCACGTGTTTCCTTCCCAGTGTGTGCCGCATGCGCCGCAGAATTCCGAGCTGGCTTTGTTCATTCGCCAACATGTTTGGCATTGCCACGGTCCTGTCTGCATGATTGCTAAAGCCTGCCGAGGCAGAACGCTTGCGGAATGATGTGATTGCAAAACGCCTATGGCTGAGCAAGCTTCCGCCCTGCTCACCAAATTGGGATTCTGTGTATAGACCCGCAAAGTTGTGCGGGATTGAGTTCGCTGACGTCTCAATCTTCTGTGCCACGATGGTTCTCGAAACTTTCTTTTGTAAGCCGTGCCGACGGCACACTTGCAAGCAGCCTGCCTTCAAAGAGCACTCGAGGAGCACTGAAGTCAGTAAGAATGCAAGAAGCAGCTGTCTCATACACGACGTCCAAGAACAACAAACAGCGCGAGCTTCAGGAAACGGCCTATTTAAAAGCAGCGTGCCCTGGAAGTCGCCGAAGTCGATGTTGAGGTAGTAGTCGTCGCGGGCCCGAGGGGCCACGCTAGGGTCTTTGCAGAAGGCTTGGGCGAAGGGATCCCTAGAGGGAAAACTACCAAACACCTGTCACCTCAGCCAAACACCTTGTGTAGGGTGGGGTTTAGGGTTTAGGGTTCACTGTTTCGGGTTTAGGGCTTAGGGTTAAATTCCTAAATTCTCGAGGTCCAAAGACATCCTAGTCCCGCAGAGTCAATTCTGCACCCCTAGAGCCCTTAACCCTCGACTTGTACCGTCTACTGCGGCCACGAGTGCTCCAGGTGTTCGGAAACATAAGCATCTGGAATGGCCTGAGTCATGGGCTGAGCACCCTAGCCCTGACCCCAAAACTCCGAATTTAGGGCCTGAGGGCTGTTGGAGCTTGCAGCTTAGAGCCTAAGGCTCTTTAGGGCCTTTCGGGTTCAGGGTTTAGGGTTCGGTGTCACGGCTTAGATTCAGGGGCAACTCACCATAATCCTGCCCGAAATGTGCATCATGTACTTGGGACCGTGATGGCGGAATGGGGGAGGTTCTAGCAGCGACTGCATCACTTGGGGCATATGGTTTGGGGTTTAGGGTTTGGGGTCTACGGCTGAGGTACAGGTACGCCTTGGCCCTTGACTAATACATACACATTTCCCGGTTAATTACCCCTCATTCCGGTAAAGTTTAGGGTTGTCAACACTAAACCCTAGCCCGTAGAGTGTAGGGTTTGCACTAAAGTGTAGCGTTGAAGCACCAAGCCCGAGTGTCCACTTCCCACTTCACGCGCCGATACGATGCGATCACGCCTCTGAGGTCGCGATGCCTGGGATGTAGGTTTGGGGCTTAAGGGGTTTAGGGTTTAGGGGGTTTGGGGTTTCGACGGGTGCCTTAAAGGGCTCTACAAGGGGTAGTGGCTCCTTTAAGGGTACCGGTACATACCGGTACTCTGAGATCTTGGGCATTGAGCGCTTCAGGTTCAGGACTGTAATTGAGTTTAGGGTTCCTATGGGTCCAGGGTTGAGGATGTATGGCTTTTATGCCACGGAAAGTGAAAACCCTAAACCCCTAAACTCTAAACCCTAAGCCCTAAACCCTAAACCCTAAACCCTAAAAGAGCCCACTAGTGCAGGTCGTCGCTTGCTTTTTCAGGGTATCTGAACCCTAAACCCTAAACCCCTAAACCCTAAAACCCTAAAGCCTAAACCCTAAGCCCTAAACCAAAAGCCCTAAGCCCTAAAGCCTAAACCCTCAACCCTAAACCCTAAACCCTAAGCCCTAAACCCTAAGCCCTATAAGTCTCTCGAAGGCACCTACCCGACCGACTGCCGGCCTTCAGTGAGGGAGGGGAGAGGAGCTCAGGCTTTAAGGGAGGAGGGTTTGGGGTTTAGGGGTT